GTAATACTCTTTTTATAAATACCCTCTTTTACTTCTGATATGAGAGATTCTGGGCTCTTCCTCTCAGCACTAAAGGATTCATTTTGGCAAATGGTGATGTCTGTTTGATCAGTTTTAGGTTTTGGCGGTCTTCCAATTGGTCGTTTAATCTGTTTCACAACTTGGGGACCTATTTTTTTAGGTCTACCTGGTTTTCTTTTAAAAGAYGAATCAACAGCACTGCTTGAATTTCCCTTAGATTCTTCTTGTGGCTTATCCCTATTCAGATCATCTGTAAACACTGCAGAAGATTCTGCAGGTTCTTTTACACAATTGCATTTGTTTAGTTCTCTTTGAAGAGTATCAGTATCATGATTAAAATTGTAATTTTCAAACCTAGCATTTGGGATATCCTCATTTGCTTCTGTGTTTTTTCCAATTACATGATGTGTTACATGTTTCTCGGAAGGAGTATCAGCATTTGATTGCGAGGTACCAACTGAGGTCAATGTATATTTGACTCCTTCACTACTTTTAATCTCTGATAAAAACATGAGTTTGATAGGACTAGAATAGTTAGAAAAAGAAGAGCTTTCAATACCTTCACACTTTGTTGGTACATTTTCAAAACCAGAAATCAAACTATCTGTATCTAAAATAGAAGACTTTTTCTGATTATCAAGTCTTTTGTTATTCAAGTCCATTGGAGGTATCTTCGGACTTTGGATAACACTGCTTAATGACACTGCAGATTTTGATAAACCCTGCCCTTGGCATGTCATTCCGCTTAAAATAGGAGTCTTCTCTCCCTCAATATTTTGGTCTTTATCATCAATTTCTATCAACTTCTTAGAAACTTTATATCCTTCTGATAACGGCCCATTATTCCAAGACTTTTTGGCCATACTTATTGTATCTTCCAAACGCTCCACGACAACTTGTAAATTCGAATTCATTGCTATCTTGCTTAGATCTATATTCTGTGAGTTTTCAACCTGAATATTTTTCACTGCATCTTTTTTATGTGTGGAATCAGACACTCTTTTGGCCTTAGGGGATTTTTTGAAAACATAATTGTTCGTTACATATATAGAATACCACCCTGGAGGTACAATATTTCGTTTAGTTCTGTTCAAAAGTCCATCACTTCTCAAAGGAGTTTGAGTACTCTCTAATTTTGGATTCTCCCCRTTATTTTTTCCAGCTGAAAATTTCTCCTGTGATTTTCTTATGCTTATTTTATCTGCTAAAGTTGTTTTATTAAAGTTTTCTGAAATTTCATCAAAAGCCAAGTTAGTTTCTATACTATGAAGAGGTAGTTGCAATGACTGAAGAGTATAATTTGGTGGACATGTTTCTGCATGATTTTTATCTTGAAAGCATTTAGAATTTTGTAAAGGCAGCACTTGGCAATGATGCAATTCTTCCTTGTCTGATGAAAATATCTCATCATTGTGCATCAATTTCCTTGAATTTTTTTCATTGTATTTTTTCCTCATAAAATTTCCATCAAGACTAGCAAGTTCTCTTTTGATCTGTAAAGACTGCCTTCTAATGATTGGTGAATCAGGAGAGTTATGCATTGCAAGTAAAGTTTGTTGACGCTTTCGAAATCTTGTCTGAATAATTTTATTTTCTACCTTTTTATCATGTTGACTGAGTAATTCCATAAAACTATAATCACTGGCCTTTGCATTATGCAAGAGAGATGTTATTAAATTTCCCAATTTAAAATCATTATCTGTATTACAATCATTGCTAGATAATTTTACAAGATTTGTAATATCTGTGGTTTCTATTGATTTTAATTTTTCATTAATGCGATCCATTAAATCTTGAAAAATTACAGCAGTTTCACCTTTTTCATAATTTGGAGTACAATTACCACTGGCATCCGAGAATAAAGAATCAGAGTTACTGGATTTTTTAGTTTTATGTAGTTTGACTTCATGGTCACCCTTGTTGCTGCTTATTTCTGCTGGTGTTAGAGATGGAGGCTGGTTAGTACTTGTTTCAAGTTTGTTATTTTCTAAGGCTGAAAGCTCTGAGATGACATCTTTCAGTTTTTCAAACCCTTCAGTCTGCACAGGTGATAACGGTGGGGGTGAGGGACTTCGAGATCTACACACATCTTTAAGATTGACTGAAAGATCACATACTTCCCTTGACAAAAGAGGACCATGAAAGGCTGATTTTGTAGAGTGAATGTTTGGTAACAGTCCAGAACAGCACCTGTGAGAATTGTAAGTATCTGCAATTCCTCTATTCATTACTGTTGTAATGTGTTCAATAGTTACAGTTTGGCAAGATAAACAATGTAATTCCTTAATACAGACTGGCAGAGGCACCAAACCTGGGCTTTGTCTTTCATTTGGTAAACACCCTCTTTCTGCCAGTCTATATTCACAACTACAGAACAGACCATGTAAATCATCTTCAAATAGAGGCTTTTGAGATTCTGAAGACACAGCACATGATGTATTACAACAGCAAAGAGAAGTAGCATTCTGCTCTTGGACTAGAAATTTCAACATAGCCAAAACTTGTTGCTGGTGATGTATGCACAAAGATTCCAAAACTTTGCTTAATGCTGATTTTCCTTTTTCCATTTTAGTAGCTTCCTCTGATTTTGCATCAACAGTTGAACTAAAAATAAAAATCAAACAAAAAAATGAATTACAGCAAAAACACCACGATAAGGAGTTATAATTTTGACAGAGTTTGAATAAGATATTTTGGTACTGCTGGACTCCTTCCTGACACCTACAGAGCTGCAATAATGACATCTTGATTATTGTTTAGCAAAAATATAAGGAAGCACAAATAACATAATGTCCAATGACAAAAGTATAGGAGTCAAAGCAAAGCCCTATTTTTGCAATATAAAAGCTGATAATTATACTTATATTTACATACTGGTAATATTTAGTGTTTTGGATATATTAACATTTAATGTAAAGAATTGAGAAGGAGTTAAAATTTTTGTAAAGTACACATTCTGTGAGTTATTTTGACAATTATCTATGTTAGTGCAAATAAGGAAAATAAAATGTAGGAGTATAATCTTATCTTTATTTAAAATATTTTTTCAAATGCTAAAAATGAAATTGTTAAGAAAAGAGAGCTATGTATAGTTACAAGGAAAATTAAGGAATTTAGATTTAATGTAAGTAACAAAATGTCTTTTCTGAGATTAAGCTGCATTTTTGCCTAAYAAAAAAATAAACAACTGGAAGCTATTTATAAATTAAATCTATTTTTAATTGATTTAAATACTTCAGTAATTAAAGGAAAACTAAAGGCATTACTTACCTAATTATTAAGTTTCAAATGCAGGAAAATGCCCACTGCAGAAACTAATATACATCTAAGCTTAATGCCCAAATTGCTTATCAAYTAATATAAGTCTATGAAAAAAATCTTTTTAATCTAATACCAGCAGCAAGAAGAGTAAATGTATTAAAAGAATTCTGTTTCAGAAAAGTATCTATTTTTATTAAACATATCACCAAACTCTGTACATGAAAATAACCTTTCTTTTGTGATTTGTTATGTATGTAGTTAAATTCCTGATTTATACAAATTTTATTTAGGGTTGGTATAGGGATATACTGATAGTGTTCCAACTGAAGAATGCAGTGTTTTAAATAAAAAATTATTATGTTGGTGTATTAATACAAACTAAAGAATTTTTCTTTTAAAACAAAAGGTGGAATTAGTATTATTTTGCTCCTAAAACTGGCATAACCTATTTCACAGGTAAATGTGCAATATTTCATTTAGATTTTATTAAAATAATTTGCTATAAAAAAGCCATCAAAGTGAAGAGAGATGTGAATTACAATAAAACTTCTTATGTCTACTGCTGCCTCCAGATAAATAAAGCATATAACCTCAGATTCTGAATTTTCCTTCTGTAAATAATTTGCTTTGTAAATTGTGTCATATTTGAATTGTACAATGGAACTGACTCTCAGGATTTAAAATCAGAAAGTTCAAAACAAGCGCAAAAGCATGAGGAAATGATAGGTATTAAATATTGATATACTCTTATCTAGCAAACTAAAACTTTGTCATAAAAGCACAAGAAAACCCAAAATATCCTAACAGATGCACTTCAACAGTTTCTAAAGCCACGTTATGTAGCCTATTAATCCTGTTTGTTAACTAATAATGAAAGGGAGGATGTTTGTTAGAAAAATACATTGCTCTGTATCTTAAAGATGAACATCCTTTTGTAACAGTTCCTGAAATGCTCCAAGGCATTTTTCTATCAATGAAGTTAAATACAAAGCTGAAATAATTTGGGGCTGTGGTTAGTAGAATGTGAGCTTAGCATGCATGAGGCCCTGGGTTCAATTCCCAGCATCATATAAGTATGTCCTTAAAAAGTAGGAACAATCAAAATGAACAACTAGGGTTAAGTAATCTAAATAAAAATTATAATTTCAATTTCGTTAAACTCCAAACATTATGAAAACCACTGATTTTTTTATAACCATTTTCTGACATTCCAAGGAAATCTATGCTTTAGAAGTAGAATTTTCTAATTCAGCTCATTCCTTTTAGTGATGCAAATTCATATATCCTGGTGGCCAATAATTTCCATCTGGTGTCTTATTAAGAATAGCTTTATATAGGTGAATAAGTTTTCAAATTATAGAATTCTCCAATATACTTATTTGGCTTTAGTTTTTTTTCTTTTCCTGGTTTCTTCCATCTCAAAGAAAAACCTAATATGAGTAAGTTGAATATACACAAAAGTCTCCAATCTACAATTTTTTTCCCAAGTGATTAGAGGCCCTAAACTTATATTTTTCATAGAGCCCAGGTTGTTCTTCATGTCAAAATTTCTTCTAACTTTTCCCTGTTTGACATATAAATGAAAACATCCTGCCTACTTTATGTTACTACCCATTTTCCCATTAGAAATTTATTTTTGAAATATTTCTTCAGAAAAAAGTCAATTTCTAATTTTAATAAAAATCCCTTCCTACAGGGAATCAAAGAAGTCAGTGTAGTCAGATTTTTCTTTTGTTTTTCTTTTCTTTCTTTTACTGAATGAGTAAATCAATCACACACCAACAGTGTTGTAAATTTAAGTGCAAAAGCATTGAAGTGCTTTACTACAAATTACAACCTAGAAACACGTTAACTGAACAATTAAAATTCATACAATCAGATTTAGATATATAACAACACAAAGTAGGAACAGAATTACAGTACATTTACAACACAAGACAGATACATGAATTCATTAGAAAATATTGTAATAAATAATTCATGAATTATAGTGCAATTGATTTATGCATAAATATAACTAATTGCCTAACAATCAGTTTATATTAACAAAATCTGTCAAAATCAAGGCAGCCACAGAGTTTTACTAAATTACTGCGACAATGGAAATACTGCAATTAAAAAACAAATACAAGTATTTGTACTGTAAACAACTAAAAAAATCAGTCTCACTAAAGTTAGTATACAATTTAATATAAAATTGTCATTAGCTACCAGAAATGGTTTAAACAACTTTACTGAGCAGTAGTTTTCTAAAAACAGAGGCACTGTTTTTTTCTTTTCCTTCTTTTTTTATTTTAAATATAAAATACTTGAGGAACATTCAAATAAGTAGAAAGCACATAAGGGTTGCTTTCACTTTCATTAAAAGTCTGCTGAAACTGGATTTTTCAGAAAATTGTCAATTAAGTAGTAACTGGTAACTAAATTTATAAAGTACTTTGAAAGTTTAACATAAAGAACATCTTACTAGAACCACTGGGGAGAAGGGGAACCCATAAATTTCCCTGCCTTTCCTAGTTTGTATAATCAAAAAGTTAACTCAATAATAGAAACATTTTGTTTCTTTTAAGTTATGGGTTGATCATTACCTATAAACTATCAAAAAATATTTTAATTTACTATTTCTGACCAAAAATAAATAATACAAGTACTAAAATGCTGCAAATTAACTATAATATACCTATAAAACTACTGATCACTGTGAAGTCAATAGCAAAATGATCCCTGATTTATGAATCCTGTAAAGTTTTTGGTCAGGTCATCTTTTAAATGATATAAAAGTGTTCTGTAAATTTCCCTTTACTATAAACTTCTCAATCAATTTATTAATGTAAATATAGTGTGAGGAATAAAAAAGCTCAATACAATATAAATATTATGTAATGCATTCGAGCCCCCAAAGTTTTGCAAGTAAAATTCTGTATAAAGAGGTCAATAAAATTGTTTTGAAACATTTACTTTATCTTTAACTTTGTTTTTCAGTGGGGCGGGGAAGGGGAATATATTAAATAATCCAAGTCTGGCCCTCACAAAATATGGCTTAATTCTTTAAAAAGAAAGATGACCCTGACATCTGCTGTTTTGTAATCTATTATGTATATTTTCTGGGGGTTGGGGGRTGGGGAGAGTAAGAGGATTCATACCCTAGTATGCAGGTGACATTAACAGCTGAAAAGAATTCACTACAGATCTCAGATACCAAATAGCTACTAGATTGTGTATTTCCTTACTCATCAGTTACTTTAAATACATGTAAGCAGTTTTTAAATTTAATAGCTGAAACCTCTTTAGTATTACATGTATATGTGATTATTAAATACACATAAACACAAGTGTAAAAACACAAGTATTTGACAAGGTGCACTCATTTTTTAAATTCAGCTGTAAGAATTCCGTTTGAACTTGAAAAATCTGACTTAGAAAAATGATCAGAACCTGAATTTTAACAGAGAAAAGGGGCACTCAGAATTTTTAATGTATAAAGCAAAAATCCTCATTCTTTATATGGAGGCACATGCTTTATAACATTTTATCTCTAAAACTGCATACTCCATAAATCCAACATGAATACTCTGACCCATATTTTAAAACTGCTATATAAAAATTACTGGTCTCTTATGAGTCTAGTAAAAGTTAAAATGCACTGCCCAGCTTCTAACTACCCAATTAGTAGTGAGTTTACATTACTGAAAGTTCAAAACAGCTTCAGTGTTAAATATCTGTAAATCTATTCAAGACCCTGAACAAACTGCAAATTTGGTTATTAGCAAAATGATAATGTATCGCCCACCAAAATGAAATCTGTAATTCATTTTGATAAACTGAAAATGTTTTGAAATGTCACAGCAGCAAATATATTAAAGTTACACTGAGGTTTTTCAATAGTAGGAGTGTGTCACAATCCTTAAACTTTAAAGTAGTCATAACATCAACTAACCAGCACATTTAAACCAAAATTATCATTCTCAAGCTTTTTCTGTGCACATTATAAACATGCTCTAAGTTGCATTCCAACTTTCTTTTCTAACCTTACACATTAGCTTATTTTTCAAATGAAAAACAAAATTAAATTATTTTAATAATTAAATTTAAATTACTTTTTGTTCTTAGTATTCCATCTTATATTAAAAGATTCTATAACTGCTGGGGTTAACTATGTGTCAGGTTTTTTTTTTTTAAGTATATACCTTATAAACCCCAACTTCCTGCTAAATCAACTATTAAATGATAAATATTAAATTTCATTATACATATTTTTTAAGGTTTTCTTTCTATTCCTGGTGGATGCACTTGAGTGCATTTGTATTTTATAGAATGCACTGTAGTGTATTAATACTGTATATATTAATTTTTCTTAGCATGAAGATAGCTGTTTATTTAAACTTTGATTGGTTCTTTGACATACTTATAACAACTGTTAAGTATGTTATGTAAAATTGTTTACAAACTATTAATATCATATTACCATTATAAGATGGTTCAACTGAATGGCTAGAATGTCCTTTCACCAATAAAAATGTTTCACTTGACAATTACTTGTTTTCCCACGCTTTATGCTATTGACTACTAAAGAAAACCTGAATTTCTTTCACCTATTTATACAAGGATTAAATACAAACTATCAGAATTAAGTAAGCAACTATATAATTCTGTCCACAGTGAAAACCCTGAATAAAACTTTTTTTTCAAAAGGCATGTAAGTGGTTTTTGAACTGTAAAATTTCATGTCTCCTGTCAAAGTGAGCATTTGTAATTCCCACATGTGTGTATGTAGACACACAAATACACACCTGTGCACACACACACACACACACACGGGCGCGCGCGCGCGCGCGCGCACACACACACACACACACACACGTTTTCCTAACAAGTAGTCTACACAGGCTTGCTGTTTTTGCAGCTGCCAGTCCCTGAATCTGTCATGTTATATAACCCAGTGTCTGGTAATCGTAGTTTCTTCTTCGGAGGAGTCTTCAGTGTTCCAGATCTTTCTTTTACCTTGTATTCTAAAGTGCTGTGAGGTACCCCATAAATTCCTTGTGCTTTGGAAACACTCATTTTTCCACTCATTACCATTGCAATAGCCTCTTCCATTATTTCATGATCATATTGCCGATAGCGGCCACGTTTTTTCCTGGGCTGCTTATTATCTTTTCGATCCAATCCATCTTCAGTATTTTCAGAGTTTCCATCAACTGTTCCATTTTTAGAATTAAGACACAAAGGAGAGAGGTCCCCATGTAGAAAGTAAGAGTCAACACTTGAGTGAGTTACAGAACCAGAACATTCTATTTTGTTCTGTTTAGGGAGTATATTTTTCAGTTTTTGRAGCGCTGATCCTTCTAGGACTGAAGAGGTTTTGGAAACTTGATACATAACATCCAGCAGACCAGAACCGTCGGGTTGTGATTTTGAAACAGAACTTACTCGTAGCTGAGGGATTTTTAATTGTACAGTAGGATTTGAAGTTTCATATTGAAGGCTTTCATTTTTTTCTTTAAATTGAGTAACCATTTTCTGTAGAGTTAACTGATGGAGGTAACTGGAAGCTGTTGGGAATTTTAATTCTGAGGTTTCAAGTAGATTGAGTTTACTTTTTTCTGTGCGCTCTGCTTGAGCTCTTGCCCACAAGGCTACTTTTTGCAGCACTGCACAAGTTTCTTTACTGTCTTTATATGAGTAACTATCATTGAAATCTCGAGTTTTGTTTTTAAAAGATGCAGGCTTCCCTGCTGGTAAGGCTTCTAAGTGGAGAAGTAAAGTTTTTTGAGGTATGCCATAAAGTATGCCTGCTTTATTTATGTCCAGTGCTCCAGACTGAATGTCTTTCAAAGCTTTTGAGAGCAAACCATCTGCAAACTCAGCACTTCTTTCCACATAGTCCTCTCTGTTTCTGTGTAGTCTCCTGGATGGATGGAATGAAACGATGGTAAACTGATGCATGAGAGACTCTCACACAGCTATGGAAGGGGAGGGTCCACTCCTTTATTATACTCCTTGCTTAGGTAACATCACTGCTTATGACACTTTTAAGTCTGTGAGATGTGGTAGTTACTCCTTATCAAAGCAAACGTTACAGTCCTGGTAGGACAATGTGTCAATGATACGGTGGCCTCAAGGGGCAGACCTTCCAAGAACATAAAATCCTAACTCAGTATTTGTAAAAATATTCTCATGATGTTGCTATTCCTCTGAAAGATGCTTGCAGAGCAACACTTATAATTTTTATTTGTACAATTAGAGTTCCATTATAAAAAAAATACCCAAATCCTAAAGGAGTTTTTGTTAGTAGAAACGTGACGTTACCGCTAAACAAGTAATAAAAGAGTCAACCCATTTAAAGGAAATTTGTAGCAGCAAGAATATTTCCAAACACAAACATCCCCTATTTCCACAAGACTAATTTTCCTCTAGACAAAAACTTAAAATTTGAAACGAGGTGTATTTGAATAAAATACTTTTCTTTTTAGACACTACGAGTTATTTCTAGTATAAATGTTTCAGGTAATTTTCAGTTTCTCAAACAGAAAGCTTATAATCTATTTTATGACTCAAACACTACAGCAGCCTTATTTGAAACAAATGACACTCTACATCTCAGATTTAAATGTGACCAAAAAAGCTTCCTATGTAGTTAATGGGAAGATGTGAAAGTTACAAAAAAAGGAAAAAAATCCAAAAGTCCAACAGAACAGCATTTCACTAGTATTTATTTAAATTTATTCAATGACAGCTTTCAAAACATGAAAGGATTTTTCGTGGTGACTACTAGATATATTAAATCATTTGCCACCACATCTAAAGCATAATGAAAAAAATATAAACACTATAAACTAGCTTTAAGAATTAGTAAGTATAGTACTTTTAGAATTTGTTCATTGTTTTWAAAAAATTAAATACTGAAATCACATATTTCCCTTAAAACTGCCTCCTGAATTTTTAATGTAAAGTTCTCTTACTTGTCCTGCTTCTTAGGTTACATTCTATGATTAAGCTGATAGTTCATTTTAGTAACATGAACTAAAGTTTGGTGATTGTTCTGATAACTTTTCTTTAACAGAAAGAATAAAAAAGAAAGAGAAAGGACAAATGAAAGGTATGAGAGAGACACACTTATGAGTGACAAAAATTCTGGAGGAAAACTATGTCAATACCACTCAGAATATTATTAAGAGTTCTCTGCAAAGATAATTTTACATTAATATTAAATTATATTTCCTAGATATTGCTTACCCAGCCATTGAATTTTCAGAAGAAGGATCACATATAGATGACTCTTCAGATTTTATGCTGGTTTTCTTTGTAGAGAGATCTAACACTCCATCCCCTATAATTTTTGCAAGAGAAAAAACTTTTATATTTGTAATAGATAGGCAATCCTTACATTTTATCATCCCATATCTTGAATTCTAATTTATGACCTAAATATTAACACTTGTATTTGATATGTGGCCATTACCTATTTGTCTTAAATGGTTTTAGCAAGGACATGACTGGGAAGGCAGTACATAGGAAAGAAAGAGCAGAGAAGGAACTGGCATTGCCAGATGATTTGAAGAAAGTAACAGACGACATATATAATTTGTGTGTGTGTGTGTGTGTGTGTGTGTGTGTGTGCAATCTCTTTAGAATCAACTCTTGAATCCCCTTTCCCACAATTTTGTAGTGAACAGCTACTTGATTGCTGAATCATGACTGTTTTCCACTAAAGGCTTCCCAGATGGTATTTTGGGAAGGTGGGAGAAATGCAAGTTGTACAAAACAGAAACAACAGGAAATGTGATGAGTAAGAGAACTGAATAATTAGTACTTATTAGGATTAGCAATATGTGGCATRTATACATTAGGTAAACCATTGACTCTTTGAAGCCAATGTATGTGCAAGAACTCAGTGTAAAATTTGACTATTTTAAATTACTGAAATGTACAAAAGTTCAATCTTTGCTTATGTAATATGTTGTAGCTATACCTATGATTATATAAAGATATAACAATAACTTCAGGGAAAATAACCTGTTGTAAAACAACTGCTTAAGTATTTGTTACTAAAATGCAGTTATTATTATTATTATTATTATTATTTAATACTGTATTAAAAATTCAATGATTCAGATATTGTTAAGCTGACATGCTTCTGGATCAAAAGAATAAACTATGCATTTGAAACCCAGTGATATACAATACTGTAAATGTGTTTCTACTGTTAGGTAAACAATTGAAAAATAAGAAAATACATGTTTAAAAATATAGTAAATAATCTGAATGAGTTAAAAGAAAATCAAACCAATTTTATTGTTACTGTATCAATTCATGTAATACTTAAGTGTTCCAGGGAAATAAAAAGATGAAAACATAAAAATAAAGCATCCTATCTATAATCTCCTTAGAACTGAATAATATTTTGAAWGTTTATTTTATATATAGCTGTTTTAGACATCATGAGAGCAACAGTTAAAATAAAAAAAAAATATTCATTTTCACAATTCTTAGCATCCAGTGAGATTACTCATGCAATACTGCCACCTGCCAATTATGGTCGAGCCACTTAAGACAAAATGCAGAGTAAGCTGAGAAAAAAATGAATGTAGGGCTGAGGAGGCTGCTATTTTATAAAGTGTGATCATAAGTGCAGTTCTCTTTGTAAAATGAATAGAAAAGAGGCTACTATGGCTGAAGTACAGTAATCCAGGGTAAGAATGAGATAACATCAGAAATTTAGGAAGAGGTAGGTACACAGGGCTACTTGGGCAATTGTAAACCTTTCAATTTTATTCTGAGGAAGACAAGACACCAATGGACAGTTTTGAGCAGAAGACTGACATGATTTTAATTCATGTCTTTAAAGGATCAATCTGATGTGGGGAGAGTGGACTGTAAGGGTCTGAGGGTGCAGTAGGGAAACTTGCTAGGAAAATGCTATACTATTTCTCTTTTATGGATTTTTACTCTGTTGGTTTCCTCTGCCTAAGTGTCCTCTTCTTTCTGTCACTCGCACTCATCCCAATTCTCACCAAATTTTACTCATTATTCAAAGGCTCAGGACATAACTTGTACTTGGTTGATCATCATCCTTCTAGGTTCCTATACCAGCAACATTTACCTGCATTATTTAACAGTCAGCAGGGTGTATTCTATTTGCTTATATACTTACCAGTATTAACTGAGGACTATAAGATATGTAAATGCAGAGAACATGTATATTTTATTTTATCCCTTCTGCCTAGAATAGTACCTAGCATACAATAAGTTCAATAAATATTTGATGAATAGAAATTTGAACAACTCAAGGAAATTTGGTGTGCCTAGAGGTTAGATTGCTTAGACTAGAAGGATAAAAAAGGAGACTGGAGAGCTACAACATACCTGGCATGTAGTACCTTTAAAAACTGTTCAAGTATCTTGCTCCACTTTATCAATACAACCTGATTTTATGCTTGGTGTTCAATTCATCTCAAATCTTATGCTTCTCATGTATCTAACCATAGCATGTTACTGAAAAATGCTGTGTGATGTCATGTTTTTCAAGTTGTAGTACACCTTCCCTTTGCCAAGAATGTTCTTTCCATTTATTCAACTTGCCAGACATCCTTGAAGATCCAGATACCCTCTAGAAGGAACTTATTATTGTTTCTCTGTGACAACAGCATCCTATAACATTTATARCACTATCATGTTCTTATTATGTATTTTTCTTTCCCATGACACGAAGTTCCTCAAGGTAAGAAATCTTATTCATTATACATTAATAGTTCTAGAACCTACTAAAAGAAGAAAAGTTGTCTTCTCTATATTTCATCATTTCTTTTGTTCTTTAGCAGTTAAAATTTGACTATTTAAAAGACTTGTGAGAATATCTTTTTCAAAAACTATTACTGCCTCACCCATATTTGTATTTATTAACTTCGATTTTGWTCATGTTTTATGTACAACTTAAAGCATATAAAATACACTTATTCTACGTCTAATTAATAGTTAAAATTTCATAATAAATTAACAAAATTTCCCCAGTTCTAAACTCTTCTATACTGCACTCAATTMAAATCTAATTATTTCCCAAAATAGAAATAATGAAAGAGGTACAGGGAACCCCTTCTTTCTCTTCTACATGCAAACTATGGAAAAGTTAGGTTTTAGCTTTCTAGCTAATATAATAAAAATTTCTTATTCTTTCTGAACCACTACCACACACAGCCCTGGTTAAAGCTCATTTTAATCTGGATAAGCCAGACATAAGCCTTGTTATGCTTTCCCTAGGAAGTCTAAATTATGTATCTGGTGAGCAATGCTTTCATCTTTTTTCCACAGCCCCTTCTCCATATTTAGGCTGCCCATGTTAAGTTTTGTTCTAAAGATATTGACAACGAAGCAATATATTGTCTGTATCTAGTATCATCAAAAAAATAGTCACATTAAAATTCACAATAAGATTTTCAGAGTAAACACAAGATATGTAAATATGTTATTAAATAGTTTTAATGTACATTAAGGATGTTTAGATAAATTTTAGTAATCTATAAAAAAACACTTTTATTACCAGTATATCACTTAATATGAAAGCATGTTGTCAATGTCATGTTTCCTTTTTCTACTTTCAAGCCTGCAAGCTTAGGAGCTGAAAAAAATTAAGAAGTTCCCCCTAGGGCTTCTTAATTAAAAAAGTAAAAATCCTAAGGGAAGGAGAAAGACATTTTTGGGAAGAAGAATGGAAAATAAGAAAGATCAGCAATGGGGGCCAAAAGTATTTTCTTGCTCCTGCTGATGATTGATAATCTGACTGGTGATTACATCTGTCAGCATCATACCTTTACAATGTAGATACCACACCATATCTACATTGGTTTTTTCTTTTTTTGTGTGTGTGTATCTCGCTCATATATTATATATATATAAATTTATAATATATATATATATAAATTTTCACCCCAAACTATTGAGGCTTAACTCCATGGACAAAAACTAAGCACTTACTCTGCTCTTATAAGGTGACATAAACAAAAGGCAGAGGATAACTAGTTCATTCCCACCACTGTAATCTGTTTTCTTTTATTGCAGTTTGTTTCCCATTCACCTGTTGGCAAATATCTGAGTTGTTTTAATTTTTCACTGTTATGAACAATGATGAAATGGACATTCTTCTGAGTGTTTTCATATTATAAAAATTTATCATATATTAGATATATATCTAGAAATGAAAGTGCTATATAATGAAGCATGAACATTTTGAAATAGAGTAGATATTTCCAAATTTCAGGATTAAGGAAGAAAAGTGCATGCTATTTATGTGAATTTTTAAAGCACACAAAATTAATTTATGGATGCATAGATAGGTAGTATGAGTGATTGCTTCCATGGATAAGTGAAAGGATATAAAGAGATCATAACTGTATTTCTAGAAATGCTTAGTTCTTGAAGGGTGAACAAATCAGAAGTCCATATGAGGGGCTGGGGTTGTAGCTCAGTGGTAGAGTACTTGCTCTGCATGTGTAAGGCACTGGGCTCAATCCTCAGCACCACATAAAAATAAAGATACTGTATCCATCTACAACTAAAATATTATATATATATATATATATATATATGTGTGTGTGTGTGTGTGTGTGTATAATTAAATATGATTAACAGATTTATTAATTCCAGGCAATAGGCATATGACTATTATGCTATACTTTTCAGTTGGTTTGAAAAATATATTTTTCATTAGGTTTTTCCTAATTAAAAAAAGAACACATTTTATTTCTTAGTTTCAAACTGGGCATTCAGTATCTCAATATACTTACTTCTGATCAAATGCTACTAAAAAAATATTCAGAATTAAAAGACAAGCCAATGTAATCTTTCAGCAAGGCCAGGTAATTGTATATATGTCTGACAGTAATCAGATATAACTTTAAAAATGGACTGGTGTTTGAAAAATTGAAACCAGTGCCAAATTAAGTAATTTGAGTTTCAACATTTGGCTGTTTTTTTTTKGGKGGGGGAGGGTTAAAGTTTATTAACTGTTCTCTCTGTGTATTTTCATGCTAATTTCTGATAAAGAATCTATTCCAAAGAGGGCAACTACTAATATAGAACTCTCGTAATACAGAATTACTTCCCATTCCTCCAAGGACATCATCCTTTTTCACTGCTTTCTGAGTCTTTTATCCACTCTTCAAAGTTATGCTCTATGCTTCACTGGCCTGGCTAAAAACACATCTTTCAGCATCATATCCTCAGAGGTGATTTTTAATTCCTCCCTAGTTTTCTTTCACAATCTCAAGCATTCTATGTATCTATCTRTTCTATACTTAGCATAATTTGCATAGTTTAGCACTATAAATCCAATAG